GCCCTGGAAGCTCAGCTAATGTGACAACATCTCGTTATAGTCTAATCCCACTCCACAGCTCGATAAATAGAGCCGTCAGCCACGCTGCAAAGTGACTCCACTCAAAGCCTCGCCGTAAAACGCTGGCATGTTGGAGCCTGCCTCGCTCCCATGTAGGAGGATGCTTGTTCTGCTAAACGCTGCGCAGCTTTCACATCCCACCTGGCATTTGTACAATCAGTGTTCCTTTAAAACTGGGGACTCTTCGGTAGCTACTGTCATCTGCTGCGTTTTCCAGGTGCATCAGAACTGTGGATAAATACCCCCGCTTACCTGAGGCAGCGGGCGGAGACGGCGCTTTCCCAATTCTCTGCGGAGTGTCGTGTTTTTCTCCCCTCTCTTCCTTCCTCTGTCAGTGTTGACACACCAAGGCTTGTCATTTGGTTCCTGAATTTTTCATGAAGGTGAATTTGCATGATCACAATCCTGTGTCACTCCTTCCCCTGGTAGATTAGACGCTGCAGAGCGCTTGAACTTCAGCGAGGCAGAACAGGAGTGAGAGGAGCATGCTTATTGGGACTGTCTCTGCAGGAGCCATCTTGTTTCAAGGCTCTTTGCAGATGCAGGAGGCCAGTTTACATCTGCTCTGCTCGGTTCTGTGGCTCTGAGGCTCATATCGCTGAATAAGTGACGATAAGTAAGTAGAAAACCAGAATAGAACCCAATATTTCATCCTAATAAAGAAATTAAGTTACCATAACTTCACTGTTTCTTCCTTCCATACATCCATCCTGTTTCCACATTTCATAAATATCGGACATTTTGATGGGGAACTGAGGTGAAATGAAACAGCTTTGAGTTTGGAAACGTTACTAAAATTTTAAATATGTATGAAAAATACTTTTAAAAGATTAAATCTGAAGAATTCAAAGATATTAAATACTTCAATTCGTCTGTTTGATCCATCCGTCCGTCCGTCCGTCCGTCCGTCCGTCCATCTTTATTTGTTTCATCATTCATTTAATTGATGTTTTGATTATATTTTATTGGTTTAATTTTGTCCCTTTTGGTCCTCCATATTAATGTTCATAATGACTTGATTTCCTCATCTGGGTGTTAATGGGAGTGGTGACACTTTTAAGATGTGAATATATTGAAACTTTGCTTTTTCTAACATAAAATGAACACACTATAAATCAAGACTAGATTTTCTGATTTAATTTTAAAAACTATTTTTTAAGAAAGCCTTTTGGGTAAAAGCAAAAAGCTGAATCAAGTAACATTAGAGCTGAAATTAATGTGTGAAAAGTATCTTTTTAATGGTTCATACAGGAAGCACTGGGATGGCGTGAAAGACTCCTGGGCTGAGACCTGACATTTATGTGGGTTTCAAACGAGCTTATATGTGGATTAATCTGTCATTAGTGGGACAGACAACAAACACCTGACATAGGGAGGTAATGCTGCTTCAGACGGAGGAGAGCAAAACGTGCTGTCAAAACATGGCGGAGCATGTCTGCTGCAGTAGCTGTAAGTGTCTAAGTGGTCAGATTACACAGATTGGATGTTGAAAGTGGGGATAGTCAGGGCGGGATCACTTTATGCTGCCAGCTTTCTCAAGGGAGGAATTTTAGTGATTTTAGTTCCAGATGCACTTTGCTGTTCCAATCACACTTTTGTTTTAATAAGAAGCACATTTGGAGTTGCTTTGTTTGGTCCTGCTGTGTTTTTGTGTCGTTCCTCTCTACGTCCTCTACAGCTTCAGTTAGTTTAGGATTTTCTACGGCCCACCTGATGCAGTTCTTTGTGAAGAAGGTAACATGATGACTGCATCAGGGAGGAGTCGCGTTCAGAGCGACTTTTAATTTTAATTGACGTGTAAATGTGAAGTGTACTAATTTGTGATCTGTTGTCAGAAGATGAAGGAAAAGCTTGTGTTTTCTTTACCATAATTACATCCTGTTATTTTTACATGTCATATGAACTATACCCAGAAAAAGAGCAATGAAATGTCTGTAGTGCAATGTATTTGAGTGCAACACAAGTCTAAATGCACTTAAAAAGAAATGTATGCAACAAGTTCTATTACTAAATAAATTACAATTTCTTTCTCATAAAAAAATTGTGAATTTTCCCTAAATCCTACAGTCTGATAAATGACTTATTTTATACATATAAAACCAACACTAAGCCTTTGTTTGACACAAAAAACAGAAAAAAATATAAAAAACTGATTATATAAAGTGAATACTACACTATAGTTAATAAATTGTTTATTCAATCAAATATCTTGAAACTAAGGAATTTTGTTAATGTAAAAATGGCATTTTTATTTACTACTTTAAAACAAATGTACATTTTGCTGCATAGAGTGAAATTATGGAGCAGTTTGAGAGAAGAGTTGAAAAATACTTTATTATAAATCAATTCAAAACATGCTAGAATATTTTTAACACATGGCAGCTTTTTATACTTCTGAGTCAATGTGGAGAATTACACATTGCTTGGAAATTATATTTTTAATTTAATGTAAACTAATATTAAAAGGTATTTTGTAATTTTTGCTAAAGGTGCAGATTTTTACACAATTTGTTCTTCTTGCTCACTTTTCACTGTTCATTTTATAAATCGAGTGAATAAACTCCAATATTTGGAGGGAAAATGTTTTATTTTTGCTCCATTTTAGAAATAAATTTAGTAAAAAGTAGAGTTTGTATATTCTGGGCAGTGAGAGGAGACACAAGGACCGGGTTATGCAGGTGCATGAGGAGAGATAGAGGCTCATTTTTAGCTTCCATGCGTTTATGTATCTGAACAAGGAACAAGGGGAAGGCAGATGTTGTGCATTATGTGCCGGTCTACTGCCTCTGAAATTGGCCCTGCAAATGAGGATCCTAATGAAAGGCAGCCTAATCATGCTAAGTCAATTGGATTTAGTCTCTTTTCGTCCGTGTGTGTGTGTTTGTGTAGCAGCGAGGCCGAACCAACATTTGTCAGACTCAGAAGCAGCGGCAGTCATCATATTTCTTCATTTTCCTCTCCAGCCCCGTGCTCCAAATCTGGACAGACAGTTAAATGCATTAGCCGCACAACGTAGCGTTGTTGTCTTGACTCACCACTAAAATAAAGACGTCAAACGGCCTCTGTTGCTCTTCAGAAGAAAAGAAACAAATTTATGGGCCAAAATCTACCAGTGTGAGGTGTAAGTGGGGTTAAGACTAAAGAAATAAATGTGTTTGGATAAAAATCAGCATCATATCTTTTCATTCCTCTGAAAGATGAACACTGATGTGTGCAGTCTCTAAATGTAGAGCAGGAGGTTTTAACTTGGGTTTTATTTGTAATGTTTTATAGGCGACATTTTATGTGGAAATTTATGTTACATTACTCCCTTAAGTAACATTTTGATTGTATTTATTGTCTCCTTAAGTTAAAAAGAATGTGGGACAGAAACTTGAGGGATATTTTTAAATAGGTCAATAGTGTTGATCATAATATCGCCAGTCTATCATTCTATTGGTCAGTTTGTCAGTAACTGACCAATCAGCGGTGGCTATTTGTCCCGAAGTATACGCCCCTTATCTGAAGGAACTGAGCCTCCTTAGGTTTGTTATGCTAATGCCTGCAGTCATAAGGATTTTGAGGAAAACAATAGGAAATCATGGTCCAGTGTTGTCAGTGTGGAACATGTAATCCCTACAACCTTTAGCCAGAGCATTTAGAGGATGGAATACTATTTATTACAATTCAAAAACCCAAAGGAGACTGAAATAATGCAAGAGATGGGTCGAGGCCTGCAGCCAACCTCTTGTCCAGTTGAATGAATCTGTGATTGAAGGCAACCACCACATGTTCGACTGTATGAAGGTAACCAGTAGTAAACATCACATTTTTTGTCATAAAGACACTAATTGATAGCTATGCTTGATTTTATGAGTCAATGGTAGCGCCGTGGCAGCATGAAAACATGTGCTGCAGTAACTGCGGTATTTACATTTAAGTACCTTTTTATGCTAATGTTTATTTTTAAGCATTTTCCTGAAGGTAAATTTTCACAAACTGGTATTATTTCATTACTCACCCACTTTGTATGTGCAAAATGCATCTGCCAGCCTTCACATTCTCATTCAGTGAGACTTTGTATCCCTCATTCTTCCTCTGGCTACACAATGTTTGGGCTTTAATGTTGATTTCTCCATTGTTTCCCACAAATAACCTTACAGACCTTATGTAGGACTCCTTGGACGATTGTCTTTCTTGTTGTATTTGCCTCTGTTATGGCCAGTAAGACAAACATGACTCAAGAAATGTCTAGGGTAACACATTGAATTCCACTACTTTTGCCATTGTAACACTGCCTGGTTGTCAGAGGTTTGCTCTATTTCGGTATGGGGGTGGAGCCTGCGATATGTCAATTAAGAACAAAGCCAGTTGTAAATCAAAGAACAGCATGGTTCATTTATTGGAGAATCTGAGCCAAATTCAAAGTGTCACTTTTATTAACTTCAAGCCTCAAATTAATATTGGAAAAAAAAATGAAGATATATAATAAAAACTCCCCTGAACACAGAAAGTGTAAGTCACTTAGTCTTAGAATTTATCCACATTAACAAATCTCTGCAGAATTAATTATGTATGTGTTTTTCTGGGAGCAATACAAAATTGAAGTCAAATTCCTTGTTTGTGTGTACAAATGCTTGGTGAAAAAGCTGATTGTGATTTATATTCATTATGCCCCAATGTTTCAGGATCCTAACAGCACCTCTGTTCTGCTGTTAGGACAACATCTCTGACAAGATTTTTCAGAGTTGATGTGTCAGAATAAATACTAAAATAAAACCACCTAATGGGTATTATACAGCTTGAAATACCAATAACATTTACTAAACTTCAATTTTGACTTCGCAACAGCCATAATTTGTCCAAGTATCAAGCTAACCTACCATAAACTGTACAAACTCCACCTACTCGGTGCGCCGTTAGCCGCGCCGGCGTTTAAATGGAGTGTGTGTCGTTGTAAAGTGAAACGGAAACGGAAAACAGCGGGCCGGTTTGAAACGGAGGACTCGTCGCCGTGGTTACTGCCAGGGGGGCGTCCGGGAAAGTTTAATTCACCTTTAAAGAGAGAGAGGGGAGATTCAGAGCTGTTAGAGGATAAATATATGGGGCATTTTAGCATTGTTTTAAGGCTGTCCGTTGCGATGACGTCACGCTATTAAATTGTAAATATGACCGTTAGGAGGCTAACGTTAGCAGAGTTAGCCAACGTAGCATCGTAGGATGCCAAGGAGCTTTTTCTAGTTGGTTAGTTTTATTTCCTTTCATTGGTCGGTCCAAAATGTGCTCACACGAGAGCAGTCGTGTCCTGGTTCTGGAGGAGGAGGTAAAGAATTTATCAGAGGAGTTAATTCAGTGTCAGGTATGTGTACACATACATACACATCTAATGTAGTGTTTGCTGTCAGGTTTTACAACAAGGACAAATATATCATTTTGCCTTCTTTTCTATTTTTTCTTAAACTTATTTCTGCAGTTATTACAAATGTTTCCAAAGTTTTATATACTTGGAGATAATTGAACTACTCAATTCATGTATAAAGCACTAATTAACAAATGTCGTCTGAAATCTCACCGCATTAAGTTTAATTTATAATTCAAATTAGTTTAAACATTTTTTCTATCTCTAAGGAAACCCAGCAGATTGCATTTAAGTAATTGGCTGCAGCAATCCCTCATATTCAGCATGCATGTAGTGACAGTGGAGAGGAAAAACTCCCCGTTAACAGGAAGAAACCTCTTCATAACATAACTGACATTATGTTTTATGTATATAAACAAGACAAATTCCCCACTAAAATATTTAAATGGACGCTTTGCATGCCAGCTATGTATTGAGCCTTAGTTTGACGGAGAGATTCCCACATCCAACACAATTAAAAGTGCTCAAAAGACTAAAGATCACATAGAGTAGTACAGAAATTTTTTTTTGTTTAGTCCAAAATTGTGCAAATGCCATCAACACAGTTGGATTTGTAGAAATACCAAATATTGTCCAACACGTAGATCAGGGGTCTGTAACCTTTACAAACTAAAGATCTCATTTAGAGCCACAAATGTTACATAACCTTTCAAGAAAAGACAACTTAAACATTTTAAATGAATATTTACTGTAGAAAATATAGGGTCATTTTTAAAGAACTATCATTTTATTTTAGGAAAACATAAACATTTACAAAAAGGGGATTGATGCATTTTCTTCTCTGGGATGCTGATATTTGTAGAAAACAGTTTAAACAAAAAAAGTGTAGTGATTAGAAAACTATAACAAATATTAGTAATACTTTCATCATTCTTTTGTAGAAATTTAAGACAGGATTTATTCCATGGGGGAAAAAACCTCCACCTAAAAACAGCTAAAATCTGCATTTTATTGTTTGTCTACATTAAAAAAAAATGGTTCTGGACTTTTTGCCAAATTATTAAGAGACAAATTGTGAATAATCCAAAGAGCCACAGGTTGCAGACCCCTGCTCTAAATGTCTCAGTAAAAACTAAAATAAATGTTGATGGGCATTTCTTTATGAACTTTTGTTTTCACTTTGTGAGTCGGTGATTTAAGGATCCCCTGCATACTCGCCACCAGGTGGTGTCTAATAACAGGAGTGAAGTGACCCAGCATGTCTTCTTCCACAGGTAGACGGACTGGGGCATCAGCTGGCCTTATGAGGCGATCCAGCACAGAAACACACATTTTAATCTCTGTCCTTAATTTCAAGAATATTGCAGATTCCTTCTGTGATTCATTGGACCAAGTCAGATTTTTCATAAGTGAATCAATTCAGAGTGAGAAACTTTAAAGAGAAATATTCTCTTTACTTTAGGGAGGATATCACTGCTGCAATACGTGTACATTCATCCCATTACAAGTTTATGTATAACAACTTTAAGTACTTAAAGACTTCTTTCTGCTTTGAGGAAAATATTTGGTTTAAGTAATACATTTCTGTTTTTTATATACAGTAAATTGAGCGGGGGAAATTATCTGTTCTCTTTTTCACCTTTAACATTTTTATTTACAAGTCTTTGAATATTTTATTTTTTAAAAACTGAGAATTTACATGAAGTTTAGAAAGTAATTGTTTAATGTACGCCATTCTAACTTAAAACAAGTTGCATTGTGTTTTGTTGTTTTAGTTTGCTGTTTTCTGCAGTTTTTCTCTTCATGTACCTTAAATAAAGGAAAATATCAGGTTCTTTGGTAAATATAGCAGATTTGAAATCAACAGAGAGACCTTTATCTGTTTCATACTGAGCTGAAAACGCAGCGAATCAGAAAACATGCTGTGTATTGATGTGTTTACAAACTGAAAAACGTGGGAGTTTTCTGTTTTAAGGTTTCAGTGATCACAGCATAAAAAAATTCTGATTTTTTTGGTGTTTCACCAGTTGATTACAGGTCAGAGCTGACCTAGGGAAGATCTGGAGATGTTGAACACTTGTAGATTGATTGGTGCGTCACTACTAAAACCTGTGCAAAACAGTTTTTTGCTGCGTCTTCACTTCTTGTCCACATGCAAAGTGTCTGTTGTGAGGATTTTTAGCCATGAAAACAACACTCCACCCAAGTTAGAGCACAGGTCTACAGTAAATATAAACACAAACATATTGGGAAAAGTAAATATACGAAATGCCTCGCTGAAAAACGCACTACTTCATACAGTTTCACCTTTATGTCAAAGAAACCTAGGATATAGAAGAGATACGGATAATCCAGCCCAAACCAAAGGAGCAAATCACAGCTTGTCATTTCAATCAGCCTTCATCAGGATGTTTCTTATTATGATCCTTCTTAACCAAAGAAGGAACTTTGGTCCATTGAGTCTCTGAGTTTCTTTAAAGTTCACTGATTCAGACAGATTAAGGCCTGGACGTTGATTGGGCCATTGCAGCTCCTCCATTTATTTTTTATGTTTTTACTTGCTGCTTGAAATGATTTTCTTGCTGGTTTTGGTCAGTCATCAGACAAATGGCTCCTTAGCCGCTGTCCAGGCCCAAGTCATCTCCCTGTTCGCCGTGATTTGCAGAGATCTGACGTAAACTGCTTCAGAAGGCTAATAAATATGTTCATAAACACGAAAACAAAGGATGTAGTTCCTGTTAATTATAGTTTTTTCCTGTTAATTGCAGTTTTTATTCATTTTCAGCTAATTTTAATTTCAGCTTTTGTTGTTTTGTTAGTTTTAGTTGACTATAGTAACCTTGGTTACTATAGCTGCTTCTGACTGGTGCACAGGAACGAGGAAGCATGTGAGAAGTGCCTTTCTCTTTCACCTGTCTGAACTGTGATCCTGTTTATTCATCTGCGCCGAACTTTGTTGACCTCAGCGCTGCAGCCTGTCGTTGAACTGGCCTGGAGACCCTCCATGGTTGGTGGTCTCTTCCAGACAGAGCAGACCATCAGCGATTCTGTTTATCTAATAACGGCCCTAAGATGTGCAGTGTACATTTTTAAATAGTGACATTTGAATACCACTGATGTGTTAAGTCTCGGGCATGACGCGGTTCAGGACGGCCATTAACTACAAAGAGTCTCGTCTGTCAGCCAGCAAACGTTCGGGCTAGAGCCAGCTAATTTTCCTAATACGCGCTGAATCGCTGTGGCTCTCTCTGGTATGTTTAGCCCATGGTGTTCCAGGATTCCAGATTCAGGATGAATAATTCATGCCATCATCAAACACTCATTGAATGTATCTTTAGAGGAGGGCGCTTGATGAGGGTCCTCGCTGAACACTTGTCAACGGAACGGTTAATGGCAGCCAAAGGCCAGGCAGGCGGAGTAAACCAGGCCGCCTAATTTAATCATTAGCCGCGTTCCAGTGTTGATTTAGTGAGAACCCTCCTCTCTACCCCCCCACATCGCGGATACATACAGATACATCACAGTCCTTCCTCTTTATGTGTTCAGCTCATGGCCTTATCAAGGTCTGACGCTGCCATTTTACTAAATAATTGATTAGACACTTTTTGAGAAGGGGCTTAAAATTCATCTACTAATTGGAGACCAGTAGATTCCAGTGGGAGGTATGGCTTTTATCTTCTGATGATGTGAACATAATTTATCAGATGATTTTTATATCGAGTCGATTTGGTATAATTCTGTCTTTTAATGCCAAACATACTTTTTAGATGTCGCTCATTAGACGTAGCGTTGCCTGAAAAATGTTTGGAGAAACCGGGACGACAGTCTGAATTGGAGATGCGTTTCATGACTTTTCTCTCTGACATCGGCTCTGAGTTTGGTGGAAAACACGAGGCGGGCCGCCACGTTTTGATTCGGATCCCCAGCAGTCATAAATAGTTCATAATGACAAGTGTCAAGTCGCTCCCCGCGAGTCGAAGGTCACATCTCAGCGATGGAGACCGCTGCAAAGAGAGGCGCATGATTAGAGCGGGCAGGCCGGATGAGAAACTGTTTTGTACAAGTTGTTTAAATAATTGATTGACTTCCCTACTGTCATATGCTAATGCCAATGAGCGTCCTGGTTAATCTTTTATCTTTTATTTTTTTCCCAGCCAGAAGAACTCTGATGTGCTGCTTGTTTTTCTTTGACTGGCTGATTAAAGTCGTCATGTAATGTATCGTAATTAGGGCGGGGTATTTATCGCATCATTTATCATTTATTGTAAAAAATGTCCTATTGTGGTGAGAATTTTGATTTATTATAGATTTCAGATTTCCAAACTAACAGTATGAACAGAAAAGTTATTTTTGCTATTTTTTTCCCACTGATTGTTCCACACAAGTATCAGTAAATTAAAATATATGATTATGTTTGGAGTTTGGTGATATAAATCACACTCTCAATAATAATATTTGTGTTTGTGCCACTATTAATTCTGCGTCATGCAGTCACAGCAACATAGTTATCTAAAAATAAGTAAAAAGTAGCTTTTTTAACATGATCTTTATCATTATCACAATTGTATCACAAAATATTGCGATACAATTGTCAGTCCATATCATCCACCCCAATCATAATTGTAGGGCTGAAACAATTAACCATGCCAGTCATGATGAATCGATTATTAAAATAATTGTCAACTAATTTGGAAATCAATGAATCGTTAATTGAAGTATAAAGACTCAAAAAAGGTTATTTGTTTAAAGAACATCACACTTAGAGCATTACTTATGCGAAAACTGTGCAATATATACATTTCATATTTAAGATAAAAAAAACCTTCGTCTCTACATATGTCGCTTCCAGACAAATGGCAAATTAGCTAAATCTGGACGAAATTCTGTAATAAAATATATCCTACTAAGCACCTTTCACGATCCAATTATTAATGAACTGATTATAAAAAAATAATCACCAAATCAGCCCTTTACTGTATTGAGATCAAACAGAAATGTTTTTGTAATTTTTAGCTGCAGATTATTTGCTGCACAGCGTTCACTAAAGGAATGCTATGTTACATTTTAGGCAGTAAAATGTTTATTTTCCTATTTAAAAATGGATTTCAATTATTATTTTATCTTCATCTTTTAATGTTTCTAATATTGTATAAAAAGACTTAAATGAATGGAAAAATATACTGAATGTGATTTTTTTAATCTGATTAATCGACAGAATAGTGGATTACTAAAATAATCATTAGTTGCCACATTAATAATGATATATCTCTCAATAAAAAAATAAACTCTTGATTTCCTTGATTATTCTGCAGGCAGACAAGGAGTTTGTGTGGTCTCTGTGGAAACGGCTGCAAGTGGCGAATCCGGACTTGACCCAGGCCGTCAGTTTGGTGGTGGAGCGGTGAGTGGCTTCATCTTTCACAGCTCAACGTGACTCTGTCTCACAAGCCACGAAAAATGTGTGTGAAAGTTTTTTTTTAAAGCACCTACATGGGTTATGACGGAATCAGGTGCAGATGCTGGTTTAAGCCCTCTTATCCCCGCTCTCCCAGTTCAAACAACGGAAACCTCTTTAATGAAAACACTTCTCCTCCGCTGCTCTCATGCTGGACAGCTGAAGCATTCCTGCCAAATGCTCGTCTTTACCGGATAAAACGTAAGATGGAGTAAGGCCTCTTTTGCTGGATGGCTAAGCCAGATGAAAAACTGTGGCCTGGGAACTGTCGGTGAGCGCAGAGGGGCTTCCTTTATCCTCATCAGGCATATTTGGACAAATAAAGCAGTGCCATGCAGCCGTGTTCATTCCCAGGGAACATTTTGTCACGTTACAGCCACAAACTTCATTCCCAGGGGACATTTTTGTCACGTTACAGCCACAAACTTCATTCCCAGGGAACATTTTTTCACGTTACAGCCACAAACTTCATTCCCAGGGAACATTTTTGTCACGTTACAGCCAC